TAGGGAGAGTCCGTATCGATCACGACAAACTCGGTGTTGATGACGAAGGGACCTGTGACAACTGGCAATGTGATTTTCCCCACGGGCAGGGCGAACGAGCCGTTGAATCCGATGAGGGGTGTCCTGACTTTGGTGAGGTCTTTGGGGCCAAGACCCATCCGTTTTAAAGTTTCGGAGTACATCACCTCCGAGGAACTTCCAGAGTCTATCAAAACCCTTTTGACGTCGAATTTTCCTATCCTCAGGGTCAAGACAAGGGCGTCGTTATGAGGAGTCACTACGCCTGTCAAATCCGTGTCGGAGAATGTAATGCCAAGCTCACCCGTCCTGGCCCTTTTACTTGGTGGCCCTACATCAACCTCGGCTACCTTCCTTGTAAAAGCTACCCTCTTGAGGTCGGACTCGAGTTCCTTGGACGTAGGGCGATCCAGGGGACATATATGGATGACATCTATGATGTTATCCGGCTCCTCGGTAAGGGCAAAGGCTCGTCTCTCTTCTGGCTTGGGCTCTATGTATTCTTTCAAATACCTGTCTCGGACCAAGCTTTCCAAGAACGATTTGAACACCCTGTAGCTTTCGGTGCGATGTCCGAAATCCCGGTGATAGGAACACCTAACCTTTTGATCACGGGTGGAGGGGTCGCTCTGCATCCTGGGNTAATTGCTATTTTTCCATAATCTCTTCCGGTGCTCGCCCCTTCTCCTGGCTGGACGCCCCGGCTCGAACGGCTGAATAAAAACAGTTTTTCGCGGACGCTTGGTCCCCCCGGATCTCCATGATACCCTCTGGCGTGGCGAATTTTAACATCTGGTAGAAAGTGGAGTGCACTGCTCCCAACGCATGCAGCCATGATCGCCCCATAATCACGTTGTAGGGAGAGTCCGTGTCGATCACGACAAACTCGGTGTNGGATTCCTTTGGACGGACCCCCTGGATGGGGCAGCAATCCCTTTCAGGGAATATCTTCTCGCTCCTTCTCTTTTCTCTTAGATTGGAGGGCTCGACCTTTGCTGCTTCCCATCTCGTCCCAACCCTCGAGTACTTGTTTATTCGGGCCATTAGTTCTCCTATGTCCGAGGGAGTCTTCTTGGTCAGGGATCGGTACAGGTCCGTGTCCCTTGCCAAGCCGAGCCAGAAAGATGCTGCTGTCATGACCTCCGAGCAGCCTTCTACCTCATTAACCTCTTCCCAGTATCGGATGACGTACTGGCGAAGAGTCTCGGATTCCCTCCGTCTGAGGGTCAACAATGATCCAATGTCTTTAGGGCGCTTACTCCCCGTAATGAATCGAGCCAGGAACTGCTTAGTCAATTCCTTCCAGGACCCAATACTGTTGGGGGGAAGCGCCTCGAACCACTTCATCGCAGAGTCNGGGCGCTTACTCCCCGTAATGAATCGAGCCAGGAACTGCTTAGTCAATTCCTTCCAAGACCCAATACTGTTGGGGGAAAGCGCCTTGAACCACTTCATCGCAGAGTCCCCCAAGCTCATAGGAAACAATCGGCAGAGAAACTGTTGGTCCAAATGATAGAGGGACATCATCTGCTTGTATTGCCTGATATGGGCTTCGGGATCGGACCGTCCGTCATAGGTTTTGAACCGCGGCACGACAAACTTTCTTGAGACCTCCATCTCACTGATCTCCCTCGTAAAGGGCGTTTGCATGACTTCGTCCTCGGCCTCATCCTGGACAACCTTACCCTTTCTCCTGGAGTCTAATCGGGCTTTGAGATCAACTTCTTCCCTGGCGGGAAGCCTTCTGAAGTCCTTGAGTTCATCAGTAAGCCCCTCATTTCCTGGGCGTCCTGTGGATTGGGTTGAGTCCTCCTCGGATTCATCTCCCTTCCTCCGTCTAGACAAACCTCGCCGGAGGTCGTCCAGGGCCAATGGCCTTGCTTTCCTTGAATGGTTGTCATGATGATGCTCGCCGGCTCTGGGTCGCTTTGGGGCCCTAGAGCTTTCTGCTTTGTTGTTTAGGTGGTTTCTTAGATCCTTCGTTTTCGCCTCCCAGGCGAGAAACCCACGAGAAAGGAATGAATCCCTCGATCCTTCGCCAGAGGCGGCAAACTCGTTGAGCCGGCTTAGGACGTTTACATTGTCCTTTTCCAGCTGTCGTAATCTATCGCCAAACTTTTCTTCAATCACCTCCGCCAGCTGACGAGCCAAGGGGGCTGATCCCCCTGACCTGATTCCCATACTGGTTTGAGGGGTAACCCCTCTTGACCGAGTAGAGGCACTTTTATTCATATCGGTGTGATCCCTTCCTCCGTGATGACAGGGAGCTTGTAACTCGAGACTCCTTTGGTGGGGGCCTTTCCCTTTCTGTCGAGTGTTCACCATGGTCACTGTTCTTTATAGAGAAAAAACTAGGAAAACTAGTCGTTTCCCACAGACGGCGCCAGATTGTGCGTGCAAGATCCTGCACAATATTAAAAATGAGAACAGATCTCTCCCTTGGTGAACTCGAGTGAGCCAGTTGAGTGACCAACCACGCTGCTTGGAACAGCCTGCGAGGTCCGGTGGTAACCTGGAACGGCAACGGGAGACCCTGGGGGAGCGGAAGAACGATCCAGTAAGGCTGAAAGAGGTTCCTGGAACAAAGAAGAACAAGTTAGAAGGGCGCCGGAGTGTTTTTCGGCGTATCCCCTCCGACGATCTAGTCAGTCTTTGAGAGAGAGAGAGGAAGGAGAAAACACTGAGTGTGTATTGTAGTAAAGAGTTTTTTGTTGCATACCCGTCTTGCCTTTTGCAAGGAGTATTTATACCTCAAAAGCTCATGATTGCTGTCAGTGTAGTCAGTAGGTGATCATTAGGTACAGGCAGTGTGCGCACTGATTCTGATGAGGAATGTCTTCTCTTCTTAACTGCTCGGGGTCCCGAGCAATCAATGCTGGGTCATCGGGATGCCGACGGTACAATGTACTCCTCTCGGGGAGGATGCAATAAATGCTCTGTATTAGGAGCATTTATTGCCTTTCATTTCCGAGCCTTACCGCATTGAATGCGGTCTCATCAAGGGAATGGTGTAATTAATAGTTTGCTTTCCCAAGTCGCGTGTCAGCAACGACATGCGTTTTCTCTGTCTTCAATGTGATATCATTTGTCACGCGTCCATCCCTTATTGGCTTTGACCCCTGCATTCCAGTACGTTCTGACACTAATTGTGTAAGACGAGGTCATGATGAATAGCCTAGACTAGCCTAAGCTAATGACCTGTACGTAAATAGCTTATCCTGGAGTAGAGGAAACGTCCAGGACGGGGTACCTCTCGGCACCGAGGAAAGGCTCATCTCGGGAACCGAGGGAGGTATGTCGACCGAGGTACATATCAGATCGAGGCCACGTGTCGGTTGTAAAATATACTGAATGCATAATCCTATATGACGAGTACCTCGGGGGAGAGGACCTTTGCGCGCCGATGGTGCTTGATCTTATTAACAGTGTTTTAGTAATACCGAGGACACGTGTCTTCATCATGGAGTATTTCAGAAAAGTCCCATCACATATCACTATAATAACGTAATAAACCTTATTTCATTGAATTTAATCTCCATGAATGGTGTGTGGCCAATTGTTAGTAGTTTTATTCTTTCCATTTTTTAGCCATAGTTTATAATCCTTTACTTCTATTGGACCTAGTTTTGATTCTAATTTTTTTTCTTCGGTGTAGGACGGGCTGAGATAGAGCGTCATTAACTCATAGGCGAATGGACAAATTGTCTAATACCTAAATAGATTGTGCGAGATTGACGATGAAATTCGAATACGCGCAACTTCTTTACTAATTGTTCTTGACAAATTAAGTTGTGGAGTAGAATTAGAGTCGGCAAAGACTCTCTCTCTCTCTCTCTGTGTAAGACTTTGTCCACGAAAACTATCATATCGACATGAGTGGCATCACCATCTTCCTTTCCAGACTTTGCTTTAAAGATGGCAAAAGTACAGACTACAGAAGTTGGCCAATGCACATGTGGCCACCACGTATAGGAACGTGAACGGATCATGTTTAAATTAAATTTTAACTTATTCGAATGTGAATTTAAAAAAAAAAATTGATAATTTGACGAATTTATTATGTATGATTTATGTTCGAATCTGTTAATAATTCAAAATTCGATTCAAATAACTTAATTAACTAAATTTTAACAAATTATACTTAAATTTTAACTAATTTTTTTAAAATAATTACTTAATTTCTTTACTATTTATATAAAAATATATAAATAATTCGGATCTGATTACAACCAAATCAAACAAAAATGCAGTTATGTTGACATGCTCAATGTACAAATATAGGGAGGGTTGATTGACGATTGAGGGCTTCATTTTAACACTACCGCACCAGGTCACAGCCCATAGCCAAGTGAAGAGATCATAGAACATAATTGTAAAAACAAAAGATGCTGATCATAACTATATTTTTCTGTTTTTTTTTAATCATTTTTCGAAAAAAAAAAAGGAAACTTTCATTTGGACTAACTTTTTGTTTATCTTCATAATTTGGCTATGAATGGTCTATTTTAGTCATATAATAAAGTTTAAGTACTTCATATATAGTAATGGCGTCTGATTAATTATGTCATGATATTAATGGACATTTAATTTAATAATATTTTTTACCTTGTAAAAGTTTTGTCTTTTTAAAATCAAGGGTTTAAGTTCTCCTCCCAAAAAAAAATCAAAAAAAATAAATAAATTATGTCGTGATGATTCGGGTCCATTAAATAGACATGATACAATAAATTTTTTTGAGAACTTTTTGAGACATGAGACATGTGAAACTTTTTTGAGAACTACTATAAAATTTGTTGCAATTTGTGGGTTGAAATTCAAACCTTTAGACAATAAAAGAGGAGAAAAAATATCCTCTTGATGAGGAAGCTAAAGTTTCTATGGTCCGCACAACATGGACAGTGACCTCTTTATCCTCTACACTTCAAATTATCTTATCTGATCTTCTTGCTTTCTAATATCACAACCACCAATCCACCAAAAGACCTATGTGTTTTTCTTCCTTCTCTTTTGGCCTTTAACCATGGAATTAGAAGATTCAGAACCACCATTTCTAAAGACCTACAAGGCCCTTTTTGGGGACATGGTGGAAGAAGAAAGAACAAAAAGGGTGCATGAGAACATGTTTTCTGTTGATGAATACGAGCTTCCTCTTGTTGATCTCAGTGGGTTAAGTCTAGGCAACTTCGACCGAGAAGACTGTAAGAAAGCCATTGCTGATGCTGCAAGCCGGTGGGGGTTCTTTCAAGTTGTGAATCATGGAATTTCTACAGATATTTTGGCGAGAATGAAACTGGAACAAGTGAAATTGTTCAAGCAACCATTCTACAAGAAGGCTAATGAGAATGTTTTCAACTTAGCCAAGAACTGTTACAGTTGGGGAAGCCCAACTGCTACTTCTTTGATGCAGTTCTCATGGTCTGAAGCTTTTCATTTTCCTCTTACTAACATGAAAGGATTAAGGGAGTTCACCAGTTTTAGGTATACACAAAGGACAAAGTCTTCTAGGTTTTTTTCATGCAGATTCCCTTTGAAACCAATATTACTTAGCCCTAATAGTTTACACAGCCTTTAGGTTCACACTTGATCAAGTGTAGGCATTCATTTTGATACTTGTTAAAGTTTTATGCAGTACTCATGGGTAAAACTGGACATTGAAAACTGATTTGCAATGGAAGAATGCCTTAAAAACTCATAATACACAACGTCTAATCTTATATTTGACATATGTGTGATCGTAACAGTAAGTTTCATAACCGATAACTTACACTTGCTACGGATATTACCTCCCCTAGAGAGAATTTTAAGACAAAATTTTCTTGTTTAGGGCATGATGAAAAATTTGAGAATTTATATATCTTAACAAGTAGTTGACTATGTTGGTTGCAACTCCTCCTCTATAATGATTATGTTAATAGAAAACCTTGTTAGAAACAATTTTTGTTGATTCTATTCACTAGGGTTTCCTTTAATTACTTTTGTTTGTATAATTAACAGATTAGTTCTAATATATTTCAGATCTTTATTTACTTAATTTGCAGCTCTCCTATTGAGGAATATGCAAGACTGGTGTTTGATCTGGCTCAAAACATATCCGAAACATTAGCCGAGCATCTTGGCTGTAAATCCACTACTTTTTTTGTAGAAAATTGCAAGCCAAGTTCTTGCTATCTAAGGATGAACAGATACCCCCAATGCCCTATATCTTCTAAAGTGTTTGGTTTTGTGCCACATACTGATAGTGATTTCCTCACCATATTGTATCAAGATCACATTGGAGGATTGCAGCTGATGAGAGATGGAGAGTGGATTAGTGTTAAACCTACGCCAGATGCTTTGATCATCAACATAGGCGATCTATTCCAGGTAACTTCCATATATCCATCATCCATTTCCAACTCTCCTAACCTGTATTTTACAAGGAAAATATTATTTGCACCAAATTTAGGAATATAATCAATTACACTGTTGGACTGAAAGTAAGCTTCGTTGTAAAGAAAAAAGCATGACCAGAAAAATTGTGTGAAATAAGTGAATTTATCCAATTGAGACACTCTTGATTGAGAAAAAATGATTCCCTCATGACAGAAAGAGACTCTTTCCTGTAGGAGTAGTGAAAAACTATAGAGAATTTTTGTTTGCTTTTGACCAACGAAAAACAACTAATTCAATAGTTATATTGAATTAGGTTCTGAACTTAGGTCTCTATAGTATTGCTCGTTTTGCAAAAGAATTTTATAACCCAAAAACATACCAGTATGTCTCTCACATAAAATGACATCTATGCTCTAGTGATTTTGCACAAACCCTGGTAGTTATAACTTTTGAGAAAAACTCACATCCTGTGTATATCACTTGTGGTTATTTATTCTCACATCGGTTTGTAAAGTGCATGAAAATGCTTGATAAGTTTGAGTGTTGAACCTCCATAGTGAAACGTGCTTAGAGCGGTGTGAACTTAAACCAAAACAGACAATATTGAATAATATGGGTTTACGACATTACATCATCATGCATTATATGGCAAAAGTTAATATTGTTTATTATGCCAAAATATGTACAACTCTCAATGCAGGCTTGGTGCAATGGTGTTTACAAGAGCATAGAACACAGGGTTGTAACCAATCCAGAGGTTGAAAGGTTGTCTGTGGCATATTTTTTCTGTCCTTCCTATGACACACTCATTAAGAGTTACAGTGAAAAACATTCAATCTACAAGGAATTTACCTTTGAAGAGTACAGACAGCAAGTTCAGGAGGATGTTAAGCATACAGGCAGCAAAATAGGGCTGCGCAGGTTTCTCAGATAAACATAGACATGGCTTATATATATATACACTGCCTTGGAATGACTTTAAGTTAATGTGGGGTTTGTATATATATATATATATATATATATATATAATGTAGGTGATGTAGATTGAGGTTGGTTAATTATTTATTTTTGAAAAAGTAGGAAAACTATGCAAGTAAGGAATTTGGAAGTAACACGCATGCATGGTAGTCTTGTGGTGTGGATATATAGTCTTTGTGTCGAACCGTTAGTTCAATGATTTTGTGTTTGACTTTTATTAGTGACTCTCAAACTTATCCGAAACCTATTCTATATTTATTCTAAACTTTGAAAGGGTGAGTGCATTATGGAATGTGCTTTACGACTAAAAATGAATGTAGTTCAAGATTACGGTGAAAACACGTATGTTTTACATGGGTTAATGTTTCATCTTATAGGTAAGTCTTTATAAGTTTTTTTTACATTTTGANTTTTGAACCTCCATAGTGAAACGAGCTTAGAGTGGTGTGAACTTAAACCAAAACAGACAATATTGAATAATATGGGTTTACGACATTACNTGTTGAACCTCCATAGTGAAACGTGCTTAGAGCGGTGTGAACTTAAACCAAAACAGACAATATTGAATAATATGGGTTTACGACATTACATCATCATGCATTATATGGCAAAAGTTAATATTGTTTATTATGCCAAAATATGTACAACTCTCAATGCAGGCTTGGTGCAATGGTGTTTACAAGAGCATAGAACACAGGGTTGTAACCAATCCAGAGGTTGAAAGGTTGTCTGTGGCATATTTTTTCTGTCCTTCCTATGACACACTCATTAAGAGTTACAGTGAAAAACATTCAATCTACAAGGAATTTACCTTTGAAGAGTACAGACAGCAAGTTCAGGAGGATGTTAAGCATACAGGCAGCAAAATAGGGCTGCGCAGGTTTCTCAGATAAACATAGACATGGCTTATATATATATACACTGCCTTGGAATGACTTTAAGTTAATGTGGGGTTTGTATATATATATATATATATATATATATATAATGTAGGTGATGTAGATTGAGGTTGGTTAATTATTTATTTTTGAAAAAGTAGGAAAACTATGCAAGTAAGGAATTTGGAAGTAACACGCATGCATGGTAGTCTTGTGGTGTGGATATATAGTCTTTGTGTCGAACCGTTAGTTCAATGATTTTGTGTTTGACTTTTATTAGTGACTCTCAAACTTATCCGAAACCTATTCTATATTTATTCTAAACTTTGAAAGGGTGAGTGCATTATGGAATGTGCTTTACGACTAAAAATGAATGTAGTTCAAGATTACGGTGAAAACACGTATGTTTTACATGGGTTAATGTTTCATCTTATAGGTAAGTCTTTATAAGTTTTTTTTACATTTTGACAAGTAGAGATGTTGATTTATTTTTAAAATTTTTATACCATGTTTTACCCACACCCATTTAATATTTTTGAGCCTTACTTATTTGTTGGTGGTAGGTACAATAACATTACTCTAAAAATTGACAGCATAGCAATATTATTTGATGTTTATGTCTATTAAAAAATATAATTTTTAGGGTTATTAGTACTTTTAATTTTCTGGGGTTTTGAGTAATAGTTACATGGTATTGGATGGGGGTGGATTTGGGTGGTGGGGGGGTTGCAAGGGGGAGTGGCTTGGATTGTTGGGTGAGGGGTGGAGGATAGGCTAGTCCACCGTTGGTGTGATCTAATCCTGTAATATAATTTCTCCTCAATTCTCTTATTAATACTTTATTCATGAATAACGTAGTAAGAAAAACATTAAAGAGAAAATGTACTGAAAAATATCTCAGTCANGATAAACATAGACATGGCTTATATATATATACACTGCCTTGGAATGACTTTAAGTTAATGTGGGGTTTGTATATATATATATATATATATATATATATAATGTAGGTGATGTAGATTGAGGTTGGTTAATTATTTATTTTTGAAAAAGTAGGAAAACTATGCAAGTAAGGAATTTGGAAGTAACACGCATGCATGGTAGTCTTGTGGTGTGGATATATAGTCTTTGTGTCGAACCGTTAGTTCAATGATTTTGTGTTTGACTTTTATTAGTGACTCTCAAACTTATCCGAAACCTATTCTATATTTATTCTAAACTTTGAAAGGGTGAGTGCATTATGGAATGTGCTTTACGACTAAAAATGAATGTAGTTCAAGATTACGGTGAAAACACGTATGTTTTACATGGGTTAATGTTTCATCTTATAGGTAAGTCTTTATAAGTTTTTTTTACATTTTGACAAGTAGAGATGTTGATTTATTTTTAAAATTTTTATACCATGTTTTACCCACACCCATTTAATATTTTTGAGCCTTACTTATTTGTTGGTGGTAGGTACAATAACATTACTCTAAAAATTGACAGCATAGCAATATTATTTGATGTTTATGTCTATTAAAAAATATAATTTTTAGGGTTATTAGTACTTTTAATTTTCTGGGGTTTTGAGTAATAGTTACATGGTATTGGATGGGGGTGGATTTGGGTGGTGGGGGGGTTGCAAGGGGGAGTGGCTTGGATTGTTGGGTGAGGGGTGGAGGATAGGCTAGTCCACCGTTGGTGTGATCTAATCCTGTAATATAATTTCTCCTCAATTCTCTTATTAATACTTTATTCATGAATAACGTAGTAAGAAAAACATTAAAGAGAAAACGTACTCCTCTTATTAATACTTTATTCATGAATTAATAACGTAGTAAGAAAAACATTAAAGAGAAAATGTACTGAAAAATATCTCAGTCACCAACAGTGATTTAGAGGGAATAGGGGTGCAGCTTTTGGGTGGTAGGTGCTGCTGTAGGGACTCCTTTGAGTACGGCTTGGGGAATCCAAAAAGCGAGGAAGGTGTAATGCAATTGTGAGTTGCAACTTGGCTGATTGAGTACTTAAAGACGTTTTTTGGCAAGTGATTTATTTGTTATTCTAAGTTACTAGCGTAAATTTCNAGGTAAACATAGACATGGCTTATATATATATACACTGCCTTGGAATGACTTTAAGTTAATGTGGGTTTGTATATATATATATATATAATGTAGGTGATGTAGATTGAGGTTGGTTAATTATTTATTTTTGAAAAAGTAGGAAAACTATGCAAGTAAGGAATTTGGAAGTAACACGCATGCATGGTAGTCTTGTGGTGTGGATATATAGTCTTTGTGTCGAACCGTTAGTTCAATGATTTTGTGTTTGACTTTTATTAGTGACTCTCGAACTTATCCGAAGCCTATTCTATATTTATTCTAAACTTTGAAAGGGTGAGTGCATTATGGAATGTGCTTTACGACTAAAAATGAATGTAGTTCAAGATTACGGTGAAAACACGTATGTTTTACATGGGTTAATGTTTCATCTTATAGGTAAGTCTTTATAAGTTTTTTTTACATTTTGACAAGTAGAGATGTTGATTTATTTTTAAAATTTTTATACCATGTTTTACCCACACCCATTTAATATTTTTGAGCCTTACTTATTTGTTGGTGGTAGGTACAATAACATTACTCTAAAAATTGACAGCATAGCAATATTATTTGATGTTTATGTCTATTAAAAAATATAATTTTTAGGGTTATTAGTACTTTTAATTTTCTGGGGTTTTGAGTAATAGTTACATGGTATTGGATGGGGGTGGATTTGGGTGGTGGGGGGGTTGCAAGGGGGAGTGGCTTGGATTGTTGGGTGAGGGGTGGAGGATAGGCTAGTCCACCGTTGGTGTGATCTAATCCTGTAATATAATTTCTCCTCAATTCTCTTATTAATACTTTATTCATGAATAACGTAGTAAGAAAAACATTAAAGAGAAAACGTACTCCTCTTATTAATACTTTATTCATGAATTAATAACGTAGTAAGAAAAACATTAAAGAGAAAATGTACTGAAAAATATCTCAGTCACCAACAGTGATTTAGAGGGAATAGGGGTGCAGCTTTTGGGTGGTAGGTGCTGCTGTAGGGACTCCTTTGAGTACGGCTTGGGGAATCCAAAAAGCGAGGAAGGTGTAATGCAATTGTGAGTTGCAACTTGGCTGATTGAGTACTTAAAGACGTTTTTTGGCAAGTGATTTATTTGTTATTCTAAGTTACTAGCGTAAATTTCGGTGACACTTTCTTGAAATTGACTTAATTGTCAAGACACCTCAGAGATGACAATGAATAGAATAAAAATGTGTATTCGTCTAAACTCGTTTCGTTTGAATTAGAGATAGATTATATATATTAGACGGTTGACGTATATAAAATTATCTGTACACGTCTTTACGGGAATAAACTAACACTTTTCCCCACCTCCACTCTTCCCTTGCCCTCCCTTTCCNCAGTGACACTTTCTTGAAATTGACCTAATTGTCAAGACACCTCAAAGATGACAATGAATAGAATAAAAATGTGTATTCGTCTAAACTCGTTTCGTTTGAATTAAAGATAAATTATATATATATTAGACGGTTGACGTATATAAAATTATCTGTACAAATCTTCACGGGAATAAACTAACACTTTTCCCCACCTCCACTCTTCCCTTGCCCTCCCTTTCCAGCCCCCTTTATCTGTTATTATTATTATTATTATTATTNTACGACTAAAAATGAATGTAGTTCAAGATTACGGTGAAAACACGTCTGATTTATATGGGTTAATGTTTCATCTTATAGGTAAGTCTTTATAAGTTTTTTTTACATTTTGACAAGTAGAGATGTTGATTTATTTTTAAAATTTTTATACCATGTTTTACCCACACCCATTTAATATTTTTGAGCCTTACTTATTTGTTGGTGGTAGGTACAATAACATTACTCTAAAAATTGACAGCATAGCAATATTATTTGATGTTTATGTCTATTAAAAAATATAATTTTTAGGGTTATTAGTACTTTTAATTTTCTGGGGTTTTGAGTAATAGTTACATGGTATTGGATGGGGGTGGATTTGGGTGGTGGGGGGGTTGCAAGGGGGAGTGGCTTGGATTGTTGGGTGAGGGGTGGAGGATAGGCTAGTCCACCGTTGGTGTGATCTAATCCTGTAATATAATTTCTCCGCAATTCTCTTATTAATACTTTATTCATGAATAACGTAGTAAGAAAAACATTAAAGAGAAAATGTACTGAAAAATATCTCAGTCACCAACAGTGATTTAGAGGGAATAGGGGTGCAGCTTTTGGGTGGTAGGTGCTGCTGTAGGGACTCCTTTGAGTACGGCTTGGGGAATCCAAAAAGCGAGGAAGGTGTAATGCAATTGTGAGTTGCAACTTGGCTGATTGAGTACTTAAAGACGTTTTTTGGCAAGTGATTTATTTGTTATTCTAAGTTACTAGCGTAAATTTCAGTGACACTTTCTTGAAATTGACCTAATTGTCAAGACACCTCAAAGATGACAATGAATAGAATAAAAATGTGTATTCGTCTAAACTCGTTTCGTTTGAATTAAAGATAAATTATATATATATTAGACGGTTGACGTATATAAAATTATCTGTACAAATCTTCACGGGAATAAACTAACACTTTTCCCCACCTCCACTCTTCCCTTGCCCTCCCTTTCCAGCCCCCTTTATCTGTTATTATTATTATTATTATTATTATTTATATATATATATTGTTGTGAATACAAGTCTAAATATTATTAAATAATTTTTTCTTTTGAAAATAGTTTTGTTTTTTGATTTTTTTTTCATAATTTTGGCTTGTAAAAATATAAATATTTTTGTTTTTATATTTTTTTATGTTGAATTATATTATGTTAGATTATGTTGTGTTGTATGATATTGTATTAGATTTACAAATAAGACAAACTTTTAATTATATTATGTTGTAAACAAGATTTTAATTATATTATGTTGTAAATGATAAATTTTTAATTATTTTATGATATTGTATAATTATGTTAGATTATTTAG